GATCAAACAAGCCAAGCCTAGAATGCCTGACACAGTTTTTCTGCCAGAAGTTTTGCTGTACTTTCTGGTCCCTAATGGAGGGGGAAGCCTTACGTGGATCACCAGAGTTCTCTCTCTAGCACCCAGCCACAGCTGATTGGACGGGGGTGAGCGTTGAACTCAAAGATGGCTATTCTATAGGCTTGTCTTGACGTGACTTGATAGAAAAAGATGAGCTGGGTGAATCAGATTCTGTCACTTGAGCATTTGAGGTAGGAAATTAAGTAACAGAGGAAGCTAAAATTGAAGGTTATTGATATGATCAGTGGCTAGGAAGGCCATGACGGTCCTTGTACAAGCTCAAGTTATGATGGAACAAGACTGTGAGTAAGCAGAAGCCATGAAGTAGAGAAGAGCTATGCGGAAAGAAGTAGGTGAAGAAGCCAAAAGGCAGAGAGAGAAAAAGTCCGACAGGTCAAATGTGGCTGAGTCTTATTAATGGCAGTCATTAATGTCTAATTAGTCTCAACCACAGACTCTTGCTGCCAAAATTCCCTAGAGTTACCTGGAATCCATTTCTAGTTCCAGCAATAGCAACCTACACTACAAGTCTTTGTGGAGCCTCTGGGTTTCTGTGCCTTTGTATCTTTCCAATGAACCCATCCTTTCATGAGCCAACATGAATGAGTCTTTGCTCACTGAAAATAGAAAGTCTTAAGGAACACAGTCCAGATTCAGTTAAGCTATACAATTTGTCTAGGTTACCTTGGCTGTAAGGAGACCCCTTCCTAACTGTTTAACTCCATTCTGTAGAGTGAGAACAGAGGAGGTTGTGGTGAGGGGACCGATTTTATAGTTTTTCTCCAAGAAGTTTTGCTGTGCTTGGTGTTCTCTGCTACCCCTGCTGATAGAGAGAAGAGGAGTAGCCAAGTGAGGTGCTAATAGGAACAGTGCGTCCCATGGACCAGCCCACTGACCAGTTTCTAAGGGTTGCTGTGCTCTGGAAACTACCTTGGCCAGTTGCCCTCTGCCTGTGCTGCCACATTTTTTTGGAGTGTGAAGCTAATGGCTCAGCTGCCATGTGCCCTGAGCAAACGCAAAAAGGAGGCTAGAGGCCAGTCTGTGCATGCTGGGGGGCTCACATATCAGCTTCTGTCCTTGCACCCTTAAGGAACTTCATTTATTTATGACAGAGAGAAAAGGAGACTACAGAAGGGGAATATTTTTTTCTACTCTCTGATAGAGAAAACTGGGACAGCAGGGTCCATTAAGGTGGGGGAAAGTATGGCCAGTAATAAAGAACATGCTTTAGGAATAAAAAGACTGACCTCAGTTCAAATCCTGTCCCTGCTAATTATTGGATGACTTTGGAATAGTTACTTAATCTTTCTGTGTCTTAGTTTCCCCATCTGTAAAGTAAGGTAAAAATACCTTCTGTGTAATGTTATATTGAAAACATTTACTTGGTAGCTGAAAAAATATTAGTCCCTGACCCCTCCACCCCCTCACTATATAGATGCAGTGTGCAGACATTCTGTCTTGGTTTCAAACACTGTGTTCTCTCTTCTCATCAAACCATAGGACCAAATTTGAGGTTCATAAGAATATAGTGACCATGCATATGGGGTTCTGAAGAAAGCAAGGAGAAGGGAGGGAAGGTGAGCTCTCTTCCTGCATTTCTGGAGCGTGTAGTTTAGGTGCTGCTTTGCCTAGGGAGGCTCAGGGCAGGCAGGTGCACAGGGCCCATGTGGAATTGGGCCCCGGCCTTCCCAGCCACCTCGGTTCCATCCTGGCCCATTTCCGTGTGCCTGTGAAGTGTGGGCAGAAAAGCCTTAACCTGATTGCCAGAGGCATGGCCGTGGCAGAAATCTGAATCCCTGTGAACTCAAGTGACCCAAGAGGGTACAGAAGCAACCAGCTAAATCTCCTCTGACCTTGACACCTTGGCAGACTGTGCTCTCAAGTTTGGAAGTAAATCAACTCTCAGTCCTGGTTTCTGCCTAAGACCAGGATTTTGTGTTGTCTCTTTCACACACGCACACGCATATGCACACACAATCTCTCTCTCTCTCTCATTTTCTTCTTTTCTTCCACCTATCTTTTTTTTTTTTCATGAGGAAGATTGGCCCTGAGCTAACATCTGTGCCAATCTTCCTCTATTTTGTATGTGGGATGCCACCACAGCATGGCTTGATGAGCAGTGTGCAGGTCCGCGCCCAGGATCCAGGCCCGCAAACCCTGGGCTGCTGAAGAAGAGCACTCAAACTTAACCACTATGCCACTGGGTCAGCCCTTCTTCCCCCTATCTTTTATCCCTCCCATTTTCTCCTCCTGCCTCTCTCTCTTTTGCTCCTTCCCCTTCCTCATCCAAGAGTCTCTCTTCTCTGCTCGTATTCCAGGCCTGCTGTCTATCCCTGCAAGCAAGCACTGTTTCATCCCTGGGTGGCCCTCGGGCTGAAGACAAACCAGCATGCTGCTCTATGCTCTGTCACAGGGCTACCAATTAAACAACCAGCTCCAGACTTCCCCTAGAGGGGGTAAAGAAGCTACACCAGGCTAAATGCAGACACAATGCCCTAGTAACCATGGAGAAACACGCATCTTAAAATCCCTGACCTTACACCCAAGACTCCATGATCTTGGCTCTGCCGTTTCTTTTTCTTTTTTTTTTTTTTTTTATAATTTTATATATTTATTTTTTTCCCCCAAAGCCCCAGTAGATAGTTGTATGTCATAGTTGCACATCCTCCTAGTTGCTATCTGTGGGACTCGGCCTCAGCATGGCCTGAGAAGCGGTGCGTCGGTGTGCACCCGGGATCTGATCCCGGGCCGCCAGCAGCGGAGCGCGCGCACTTAATCGCTAAGCCACAGGGCCGGCCCTGCCATTTCTTGATTTCATGATTCAGGAATGAGGCTGGTATTTCCATGGGGTTATATCTTTCAGCTATAGGAGAGCAGCAGCAGAAGCTTTACAAAATGAATGAGCTTCTTATCTCTGTCCTATGGGGATGTGGTGGGAGTGGAGAACATCTAGGATCATTGCTAATTCTAAGACCCTTGAAGGGTGAGGCTATGGATTACTCCATTAGACTTCAGTAACCTATTTGCTCATCCGTTGGCCTTGCTAACCCTACGCATACGTGTGAGCACGCCTACATGTGCCATTGCAGAGTCGGAGAAAGGCACAGTTGGTTGCCTTCCCGACAAGAAGTGCAACACAATCCACGTGGCCTTGATTTCCTTGGGTTTAGTGAGTAGCACCAACTCTAGGGAATCAATTAGTAAGAATTTACTTATTTTAATTAGTTTCTTTTTTGTTTGTTGTCATTTGAAAGTAACACATATTATAAATAATTTGTGGGTTGATATGAGTAGGAGAGGTGCAAGGAGAGAAACAAGAAAACAGAGGAAAAAAATATCTCTTGCATCCCCAGGAATCAACCAACCATTGCAGACATTTTCATGTGCTTCCTCACAAAGTTTTTTCTTGCCTATTTTCAGACTTAAAAAAAAATTGTTAGGTGTGGCCCCGTGGCTGAGTGGCTAAGGTTCCATGTGCTCCGCTTTGGCAACCCGGGTTTGCAGATTCGGATCCCAGGTGCAGACTTATGCCACTCACCAGCCATGCTGTGGAGGTGTCCCACATATAAAGTAGAGGAAGATTGACACAGATATTAGCTCAGGGCTAATCTTCCTCAAGCAAAAAAAAAAAAAAACAGAGGAAGATTGGCAATGGATGTTAGCTTGGGGCGAATCTTCCTCAGCAAAAAAAAAAAAAAAAAGTCATCATTTAATTTTATATCCTGCCTTTTCCTTTCAACATTATAGTATATATCTCCCCATCATTACAAATTCTTCATAATTACAAAACTTTTTAATAGCTTTGAGATATTTGACGGAATAACATCATTTACTTAACCTTTCCTGTTTTTTAAAAATGTATGTTTGTTCAACTTCCAGCTATTGTGAATACTGCCATGATGACCATCTCAGGGCATAGAGATTAACAAGAGTGGCTTGAGATGTGTCAGTCCTTGGCTGGGTCCTATGGGGAAGATACATAGTCCATGGTGTCAGGGAATTTACAGTCTAGGTGGGGAGCTAAAAACATAGTCCTGAGTCAATCCTGAGCTCTTTTCTTGTGTCCTTTCAGATTGGCAAAGTGAAAGTATGTTTTATACTGCTGAACTAAAAAAAAAAGCATAACAAAGAAGGGAGGGATGTATATATTGATTATTATTAGTATGTAGTGCGTATCTAGATTGACCTAAACAGAAAATGAATTGTTAATAATAGCAAATGTATGGAGAGATTAAGTTCGAACAGCAGTTGGTCAAATTTGAATTTTACCTTGGCTTGGTAAGTATCTAATAACTGATGACAAACTATACATTTTCTCGTTTGATTTAATGCTCTAATTAGAGTTGATTGTTTTTTGTATATCCAAAGTGTGTAAACCTTCATTAAGAATGTGTTCATTATATTGCAGCCAGCATTGGTGTCTGATTATCTGTATTGCAGTTCTAGTTTTTATGGGCCTGTTGAGACCTACTTTTCCCTTGTTTTCATTTCTAAAATTAACTCGAATCTCATGGAAAAATATTCTAAAAAGCAAAGAAATTCATCAAACCACAACAGATTAAAAATTAATGTCACGATGGTATATTTGTGTGTGCGTGTACACGTGTGCATGCGTGGGGACATGTGTGCGTGCATGCATGGGTAGGTGTGTGAGTGTGTGCTGGCATGCACGTGTGTGATAAGGAGTTACTGCAGAGCAGGAGTGGAATATACACAGGGAGTAAAATAGGAAACAGCCTATTTGAGAGACACTTTCAAACACCAGGCTTGTGGAATATTAGAATAAAGTGTGTGTGCACCAGATAGCAAAGCTCTTCCAAACCCAAGCGTTGGAAGTGTTAGTGTCATGAGGACTTCTCTGGAGTCTTGGCAGAATGATTCAAGTGCACCCTCTCTGCTGTGGACAGGGATGCATCTTAACACGTGCTCTCTTCTTTCAGATTGATGACCCCAGCAGCAATCTTGAGGAGGTGGTTAATGAGGAGGATGCCATCACTTCTGTGAACAATCTGGGAAGCAGGCAAGCTTTGAATACAGATTACCTGGATTCTGATTACCAAAGAGGACAGCTGTACCCATTCTCTCTTAGTAGTGATTTCCCCACCACCTCATTCACTCTCACAAATGCAGCTCCAATGACCCCGTCCTTCCAGGAACGGTGGTACATGAATCTCAACAGCTTAATGGACCAGGCCCTGACCCCGCAGTGTGGCAATGGGGAAGACCTATATATCATCACAGGCGCTGTGCCCTCAGACCGCAAAGTTAAAGACAGAGTGACTGTCCCTGAGTTTGTTTGGCTGGCGGCCTGTTGTGCTGTCCCTGGGGGAGGCTGGGCCATGGGCTTTGTCAAGCACACTCGGGAAGGGGATGTCATAGAAGACGTGATGGTGAAAGATCTCGAGAAACTGCTTCCATTTAACCCTCAGCTGTTCCAGAACAACTGTGGTGAAACTGAACAAGACACAGAGAAAATGAAAAAAATCCTGGAAATGGTTAACCAAGTCCAGGATGAAGAGCGAATGGTACAATCTAAAGAGGACTCAATTCCCCTCTCCAGCACAAAGAGCAAGAAGTCTGCTCTGTTGCTTCCAGAGGCAGCTGAGGAAAGGAGTAGCTTTTTGGGAAAACTCATGGGCTTCATTGCTACCCCATTCATCAAGCTTTTCCAATTAATTTATTACGTTGCAGTAGGAATCCTGAAGAACATTGTGTATTTCCTGTGGTATGTTACCAAGCAAGTGATTAATGGCATGGAAAGTTGCCTTTACCGCCTGGGTTCAGCCACCATCTCATACTTCATGGCCATTGGGGAAGAGTTGGCGAGCATTCCCTGGAAAGTACTCAAAGTCATGGTCAAAATCGTCAGGGCCATTCTCCGGATCCTTTGTTGTCTGTTGAAAGCCGTTTGCCGCATTCTGGGCATCCCTGTCCGAGTCTTTGTGGATGTGGCCACTTTCCCAGTGTACACCATGGGTGCAATTCCAATTGTGTGCAAGGACATTGCAGTGGGCCTTGGTGGCACCATCTCTTTGCTCTTTGACACTGCTCTTGGCACCATGGGTGGCCTATTTCAGCTTGTTTTTAGTGTCTTCAAGAAGATTGGCTACAAGGTTACCATTGCCAATTCTGATGAATTATAGAACTCAAACTGAGTGTCCAGTCACAGTGAATTTGATTTTTTTTTTTCATAGAGAAAGCTGGAATATTTTGTCTTTACAATGGGTTTTTGTTCACTGTCAATTATCATTATAACTTTGGCCTTTGGTGGGGGTGTCTGCATGTTTTTGCAAAAGAAGGTGGTACAATTTAGACTTGACCCAAGAGAAATGTTCAGAGTGGGATTATGTTTAGGTCATCTGCTGTGATATGGTCAAACTTTCAAGCCATTCGAATCTTCAGTTCTTCACTCTAATGCAGATGACCACCTGAGGTGCTCTGGTGTTTATTTGTGCTAATTAAGATATACAGAGGAGGGAAGCATTAGAAAGAGGACAACTTTAAACCAAAGGGTTTCTGAGAAAAGGAGAAAGGAATCATGTTCCTCCTGTTATTCTCTGAGACCTAAGGCAAAATTGATATAAATATTCTTAGCCAATTTGTTATCATTTGCTTCTCTTTCTCTACAAGTCAGCTGACCTTGGTCAGGTGCAGACATGCTTCCCTGTTGAAATAACTTTCTTAGGATATAGAACCTACTATATCCCTTAGCTTTCCATGGCTCCCGAGGACCTGTAAGGTTTTTTTTTCCTTCAAAGTTGAATTTTGCTCCATTTTTCTTGTAGGTATTGATAAGCATTTTATGCCAAATGTGGCAAAACAGATTTTGAATGCAAGGGCAAAGATCGTTTGCCTCTTGAATAGTGGAGTATAGTCGTCTCAGGTATAAAGAAGAGAGCACAAGGGACAGAGCCCTGCTCTGAGTAGGTGCTGTAGGTCTGAGGACAGCCTTAGCCAAGCTTGGATTAACTTGACATATATTAAATCTCTGGCTGACAAGATTGAGCTCCAAGACCTACATGTTAAGCTAACATGAAAATTCATATGCTGCAACATATTAGATCAGTCTTTCTTATACATCAAGCAAGTACCCAATACAGTAAAACACTCTGACTTCTGTCCTTAAATGATTGTTTTGGTATAAATGTATAGAAAAGAGCCACAAAAGAGAAACTATTCTAGCCATCTCAGAAAAGGGAAAAAAATATTCATATATATATGTATCAAAGTTTGTATATGTATAAATTTGATTAAGAAACAACATCCCTAAGGAAATTATTTTTATAGTATGTTTGAGGCTAGAAAACATAACTCTCCCATTAATGCAAATTTGATTTGAGAGCTAATCTCCAATTTTTTTGGTCAAGCACTTGTCATTTTACATCTTGCACTAAAGATGATAAGAGGAGAAAGCAGAATCTCCCAAACTTTGCTCTGCCTTCCACAGCTGAGATGGAATCATCTGGATTTTTCTGAGTGTTATAACAAGTTGCTGTGAGGTAGAAAGGGGCCAAGTGTAAAATATTGATCTTGGGGGTACAGGCCACCAATTCATCTAAAAGTTAGATGCAAAAACTTGGGATCCAGAAAGGCAATAACGAGAGAATGATGGGTCAACTATTTGCATCAGGTTGGTGGATGAAAAATGTGAGTGTAGTGAGAGTTACATTTTGCATAAAAATAATTGAATTGCTTGAATTCCACCCAAAATAGAAGAGTAGCCAGCAAGCTTCCATCCTGATCAGTTTGGGATGCAGGGTTGGGGAGTATGACACCAGACTGGTCCATGATAGGGACCTATGCACTAGATTTATCTTAAGCAGTATTTTACCAGCACTTCTGTTTGTGAGCATAAAAATCTGTAGTTGGGCTTCCCTTCATTTCGGCAGTATGAAGGTATGTGGAAGGGTGAGGGTTTGCCTTGGTACTGATGGGTCAAGAATCCTGCTGAATGAAAGAAAGGGAATCTTAGAAGTGACCAGAGAGATGGTCTGGCCAAACCCTCATTTGATGGGGAACCTGAGGCACAGGGAGGCAACATGCTTGCCTTTGGTTTTGTTGCTAGCTGATGGCAGATCAGGAGCCAAGGTCTTTTGCACATATCCCATCACCCCTGGCATGTCAGATATGTGGTGTGTGTGCTACTATTCAGCTGCCTTCCTGGACCATGGCAGAGTTTTCTCCATCATTCATCAAACAGACTCTAGGCCCTGCCTAATCAATTGGATTCGGCCTATGGGATGAAACAGTTAGCCATCCATGCACAACATCATGGTTACTGCCCCCCATGGAATCTCTAGTCCCTCATAGTCCATTTTGCATACTGGAAGGCCCAAAGAAGGCATTCACGGCAGCTTGGGCCCCTTGGCACCGTGCAAGGAACAGGGCATCCAAACTGCTTCTTGAGAGCTATTCGGAAATGTCTTCTTTTTCACTTCTAGTTGTTTAGTGTCTTATTTATTTATTCTTGTGTGACTTTTTTTGAAGTCTGGGAATTGATGATAAAGCAAAAAATATCCTTAAGGTTAGGTGGCTGGGACCCTCTGCTCTGGACCGCTAGTATTAGCTGTGCCTCTGGTTGACTGGCACTGGCTGTGTTGGGCCTGAAGCTCCAGCAGGTGGCTGGATTGCTGGCCTATTCCCAAAGAGCTACTTTGGGCTTTGAGGTGGGAGTTTGTGTTGTTGAACACCATCTCTGGCTTGAAGATTTCTCTGTGGCTCCGTTATGTTCTCAGGCCCTTGAGGAGGTCAGCCAACTCTTCATTATTATGGAGATGATTTTCTGGTTTGTGGATCAGCCATGCCTTTGGACACTCCTCTTTTCCATTGTGCCTTTTGATCGTTGGCTTCTCCTCAACATCAGCTCTCCCACCTAAATGCAGACTAGGGGATTGGGAAAAGGAACTAGGGTGAAGCACTTATATTCATTCAGTCATTCAGTCATCTATCAAACATGTATTTGAACATCAGGGTTGCAGAGATCAAGAATACATGGATCCCATCTTTGAGGAGTTCAAAAATCTAGTAGGGAGAACAGATGGTACAATTGATACATGTAACCATCATTGTCAGTGCTGCAATAAAGGTACTAGCAGCATGCTTCCTGGAGCACAGGAGGAAAACCCACAAAACCATGGGAATTAGGGAAGCCTTTTCAGAGGGTGTGACAAAAGTCAATTTGACATTTTCAAGCTATGTACAATGCTGTGCACCTTGTAATGCTCAATAAAGTAATTATTGACAACTCATTAGCCATTTTGTAAAATATTTAAAAGCGGAGAATCCTAATGATTGAAATAAGGTTTAGGGATTATCTTTGATTTTTATTTGTTTCCATTTTCTTTTTGATCCATATTAACTCAAGCAGTTTCCACTCACATCTGGCTTTTGTTTATTTTTGTAAAATTTGAATCATACATGAGAAAACAGAGTGAAGGTGAGATCATTGAAACACGACTTAGAACTATTTTTCAATGTTGTTTCTCTGAAAAGCTATTTGGGACATCAAGTATTTGTGATATGTCCTTTATAAATAAGCACCAGAGGCTTACTGCTTCACTGATTCTGAATCACATAGAAAATTATAGAAACACTTTTAATTATTTGTTAATTCCTTAGGAAACTCCCACAAAGTGAGAAATAACAAGCAGTCTCTGAAGGGTGACTGTCCTCTCTGTGGCCTTTAGTAGAGCGCCCCCTCTGGGGTGGAGGTGGCGGTAAGGTGGCTGCCTTCCTGGGGTGGGCACAGTCTTATGTGGGATTCTGTGTCTTGTTCAGCATTTCTCCTAAGCTCACCACACAGTACATGTTTTTCAAAATGTTACACTTGAGCAATATAGTGTGGACTCTCTGACTGTCATAAATGGGTTCTCAGACTTCTCATTATCTCTTTCCATAGGCATTTCCCCCAGATCATGGCTTGATTTCTAACAGTTCCACTCCAAGCCAATTATTTTTAAGCTTAAATTTCAATAAAGAAAGTGCTCATGACCACTTGTCATTGTTGATTGCGTTTAGTGTGTAGGAGTCCTGAAGGCAGTGTTTCCTAATGGTTAAGAGCCCAGGCTCTGGAGTCAAAATGACTTAGGCTCCAACCCTGGCTTCACCACTTACTAGCTGAGTGGTCTTGGGCAAGTTACTTACCACCCACAGCCTCAGCTTCCTCATATAGAAAATGGGGATAATTACTAGTACCTACCTTAGAGGGTTGTTATAAGAATTAAATGAATTAATGAGGATAAAGCATTCATTACCATGCCTGGCACATGGTAAGTCCTCAGTGAATGTTAGTTGTTGCTGCTATTCCTGTTGTTGGTAATAAGATCCATACGTCTTGGATGAAATTGGCTGGAAGTCCCCTTAGAGTTCAGGATGTTTCTAGATCAGAGCTAGAAGGACCAGGGTTAAAATATGGTCTGGGAGTTGAGGTCATGAATGGAAATCCAGAGCCTCATCAGTGAGACAACATATCTGAAGAGACAGGTGAGGGTTGGACCTAGAGTCTAGAAGAAGGCAGGTCTGAGAACAGGAACTCTCCATGTTTCTAGCGCTATTCAAGAAGGCGACATGAACTTTTCTGGAGTAGAGAGGCGATTTCTCTCTAGGCCCCTTCCTCACTAAGTCCACGGTATTATAACAGATTCAGCTTCCCCAAAAGCCTATAGGAAGAGAGTGAACTAGACAGAGAGTATGTACATTTTAGCTACTGAAAAGGATGATGGCCCTCACTGTAAATAGTCATTCTTCTTTATTCATCAGCCTCTTGTGAGTTAAGGCATTATGAATTAGTGCCCAAGGACTAATTGATCCTGGGGTATTGATAAGGTAGAATTAGTGGACCCCCATCGTTGATCCCTAAGCCCTGTACTAGAATGATCACCCATCTTCCCCCCACCAACTCACACTCAGTAAGTACAGTCTCCAAGAGGCCCTGCCTGTCTTCCTCAGTGCCACCTTTGGGTGGTCTCATCCTGTCTGTAATACCTACATCCAAAGCAGATGCTGATAACACGATTGGACTTTGCAGGCTTGAGTATGATATAAAACTGCATGCTGTCTCTGAAGACTGCATAATAATTTTTTAAAATAAGAGATTATTTTTATAAAGAAGAATTCATGCTAATCAAATGAAGCAAAAGATAATTTTGATCATTAATTAAAATATTTTAAGGGGTCTACCTATTCTATGTGTCCTGACTTGGCCCACTTAATGGATCACTCTGGTTCAAACATTAAAAAAGAGTCATGTTGGCAGATGCTCAGCTCATAGACTTAGCACTTGAATGACCATTTTCATCAGCAAGTTCCACTCTCTCTCCCTGACCACCTTACTGGGTGTCTATTCATCCCTTTCTGCCTCCGGGTCCAAATGATGCACATATTAGGTGCCTTCTGGGTTTCTAAGATTTGACCCTTCAGGACCAGTCTTGCCTCTTTTTATCTTGATATGGTTACACCTCCAGAAAGGTCACTGTTCCAACCCAGAGCCCCTTCCCCATGGTCAGCTGCTCAGACAGCCCCAGCCAGGAGGGATCCTACCTCATGGGCACCTTAAACACAACCAGAAGGCTCCTGAGCAATGGAGGAGAAGTTTATGAGGGTAACAAGAGGGCTTTAGCCCATGTAACCACCCAGAGTTACACTTACATGATTTTAAAAGCTTAGAAAAATAAATTCATGCTTAATGAAATATAATTCATGCTCAATCCACAATAATTTAGTGGTGGTGAGGGAGAGTAATACTTGAAGATGTTTCGAACCAGCTCTTATTAAGATTCTCATGTACGTCTATAAGCCCTTCCTAAATCCAAGTCTAATTTTGGACATTCCTTGACCATCTGAAAAATTTGGTCGGCTTCCTTTTCATCTGAAGATGGCAGACTCACCCATATAGAACCCTAGAGTTTGCAGAAGTACTTTCACCTATAGGGATTGATCTGATCTTCCCAGACATCACATAGACTAGAGTATTAGCAGGTACACCCACAGTCATCTAGACTTTGACAGCAGGAGTCTAGGGCTCCTCTCCTCTTTCCTTAGGGAGTATTTGATTTTCTTTTTGGTAGGAAAAGGGCACACTTACTAAGATGAACCAATGTTCAGTAAAAAAAAAAATATATATATATATATATATTTTTTTTTTTTACTTTATGGGTGCAAAGAGAAGTTCCATCCAGTACTATATTGAACAACACTACTTTGATTTGGAACATCACTACCTAGAACCATCTTGATGACTCAGTGTTACAGGAGAGGTCATGTCCTAACAAGAGCTTCCAGAATTTCTAGTGTCTTTGGAAGGAAAAAGGAGCCCAAGATCAAATTTGTCAGGAATTCCACACTAAAGTGTTTTTATAAAGAGCTATGGTACAGGGTTTGGGTTTTTTAATTTTGTTTGTTTGTTTATTTGTTTTTAAGCCTGCACTCTGGATTCTATAGACCTGGATTTGTCTTCATTCTCCTCCAACACTTTGGGGAAAGTCTCTAAACCTTTGTGAGCGTTAATTCCTTATCTATAAACTGTGGATGATAAAAATATTAACCTCATAGGCTTTTTGTAAGGATCAAATGAGATAATATGCTTGTGAACTATAAAGTAGCATAGAAATATGAAGATTTATTATTATAGGAGACTCCAGGGTTGGTTCTATTTTCTTAAAAATTGGTGCCTGGTTCATTTTTTTAATAGGTGAGTAGAAACCAATGAAAATTAAAGCAGTTATCCAGAAAGTGTAAATGGCTTAGCCAAAAATTGGTTTTGACAATAAATATTGAGCGTTATGCCCTGACAAGGCTCTGAACTTAAGGTCCTTGGAATTCTGCCTCATATCTATCCTTAAGTCCTATATTCTTAAAAACCAACAAATCATATCTTCAGTAGACTGCTCTGCACACACCTCATGCCCATTTGCTTTCCTCCTGTGAGTCAGCTGAGTCCCTGAAACTCTTCTTTTTTATTAGGCATCAAAAAGAAGACAACCTATGTGTCGTGTAACAGTAAGAGCTGAACAAGAAACAGGTGCCAGAGGTGGAAAGTCACAGGTGAGCCTCTGGAAACTGGCAGAAGCCACCCAGACCTCCGCTGGCAGCCTGCAAACTGAAGGCCAACCCAGGCCTGCCACTGAGTCATCCATTCCCAAGAACACCAGCTCCCAGGATTATGTTTCTGGAAGTTGTCTCAAGTGTATGTTTCCCCAAGATATTTGTTGATTAGGCGTATCCAGGTATATCCTGTTCACTGCATGTAGAAGGAAACTTCCAGAGAAGTGGAAGAAGTCCCAGAAGTGAGGAGTCAGCAGGCTGGTGCAAAGGGGATGGTGCTCCTGGGACACAGGAGACCTGAGTTTACTTCCTGTGAGTTACCGCACCTTTTCTGGATGTCATCATTGGTATATTTGCAAAACAAGAAAGGATGGACAAGACCGTCTTTAAGATCTTGCCAAACTGCAGGTAATAAATCTTTGCTTTTTAGCAAGTACTTTCATATCATTGAGTCCAAATTCTGATCAAGTTTCATCAACTTTCTCTGCTGTCTGTGGGTTACCAAAAGTTGGAGAGATCCCTTGGGACATTATTGGGAAGGGCAGTGAATGAGTTAGTCCTGGAAACATCATCATTATCATCATTATTATTATCAGCATTTCTTCTTTCCAGACTTTCAAAATTGATTAGCGGCGGCCAACCTGAGAGCATGAAAGAGATATTGGTAACGCTCCTTGCTCCCAAATAACTCCACCAGCAGCCTGCAGTGTTGCCAGAAACCTCACCCCTTGGCACTCTTCCCTTAGGCTGTCTCCGTTTCCTATGAAAATACAAATAATCTGAGGAGAGTCAGCACACTGTGTCAATATAGCAACTTAGAATAAATGATCTTAGGAAATCCTTCCCACTGGCTGAACAACTCCTTCACACAGTAGTAGTTTCGATAGGTGAGAGGCATGGTGGGAAGCACTGTGCTGAGGGTCAGGAGGGGCCATCTTAGACCAGCTTCCCAAAGGACCAGAGCCTTGCCCAGGTGAGCCCTTTATTGTGAGGGCTGGGGACAAAGTGAGATGTCCTCTAAGATCTCAGAAGTAACACCAACAAAGTGCTCTCTACATGTCAAATAGAAGATCAGCCCATAATAGAACGACGTAGAAATATGCACCCGAAAGAAGTAACAAGGTTGTTGGGCCTATTGTGCTTATAACCAGTGGTGTGCTAGTTAATGTTGAATCACCAGCTTTGCGGGGTAGGTTGGGGGGGAACA